GCTGAAGGAAAATTTGTTGAAGGCACTTAGCTGCAATTTACTACAGACCCATTAAACACATCAACGGTATGACATTCTGTGTGTGTGTGCGTGCGTGCATGTCTTTTTGCTCATTTCTATTTGTTTTCCTGTCTGTGTATATATTGCTTTACGGGGTATTTTACATGTAACTACTTAAATTAATTTTCACACGTGGATAATATTAATATTCTTTACTCACATTTAATTATGTACTAAGGATATTTCTACTTTTTTTTATTTTCACACTAATTCTACTAATTCAAATCAGTTACAATATACATATATAGTTTAACACACGCACACACACACCTATCTATGTATCTATATATCTATATCAGCTTAATCCAAAGAGGCCAGTCCACTTTGCCAAAATGTCATTGCAGCAATTCAAAATGGTAGTGCAAATCATTAGTTTGTATGCCCCCCACCTCCCATCTGTTTTTATGCATGGCTGACAACGTGAAGGAAATACCCTGACTAAGATGATGGATAGTGTCCTGGGAGTCTCCTCCCAGATCTTGACCAAGGCATCACTAATAGTGATGTGCGGATCGATCCTGAAATATCGATTCCTCCGATACCAATCATTTATGTTCTAGAATCGATTCTCACATTAAAATATTGATATTTTAGTAATTTAGGGTAAATTTATAGTTTATCATTAACAGGAACACAGTGGAAAGAAACTATAACTTTCTTATTGTCTACATTCAAAGGAACTACTTCCTCTTCTGCCTTTCATAGTCGTGTGCGAAATACGGCTGTATAAAAGTCTTGCAGCCCCTTGGCGTGCGCACTCACAACAATGGCTGAGCGTAATTGGAGTCATGTGCGGACTTATTTTACCTCCACAAACAGCTGAGACGTGGTTTGTGATACTTGTGGCAAAAAAGTGAGCTGTTGTGGACATACTTGCCAACCTTGAGACCTCTGCTCCATGCTATCTCAGTTCAGTTCAGTTCAGTTCATTTTTATTTCAAACATTTCAAACATGTGCCTTCACAATCATTACAAAATATCATTCCATTATTTGTTTGAAAAGGAATAGGCTGAAGTATTTATTTATTTGTCCCTACCCCCTCAAGTTTTACCTCTCATTCATTTAATTATTTTTTTTTGTCTTAAATTAAACAAACAACATATGAAACATATGAAGTAAA